CTTCCCCAGTTCAAACAGAAAAAGATTAAAAGATGCATGGGGGTTTGTCTGTGAGTCATTAAAAAAAATGAAATCAATTGCATTCAATTCATCAAAAATTTGTTGAGTAACTACCAGGGGGCTATAGCCATACTTGAACCCATATATTTATACAAATGTTATTCTTCAAATACTTAAATTACAAGACAGCCTCATGACTAAGCAAGCAGCATTTTTAGCTTTTCTCCTTTAAGCCCTTGGCTTGACTTTGAGAAGTTTTTTGGCTGTTTAAAAATATCAAATTCCTTTTCAAAGAATAAAGATATGATCAGGAAACAGTGGTTCTGAAAGCAACGCCAGAGGTGTGTCTGGAGTAGTGGCTGTATGGTCTAATTTAGAATCTAGCTTCCCACGATGACCACTTTGGACATATACTACTTATTTGGAAGTGTAAATTTTAATGTAACAGTTTAATTCCAGTCTCATTACTTCTATAGCCATACTCATTAAGAATATGTATTAATATTAAGTATATATACCTAACGTGTGTATGGAGTAAATGTTTAAGTGTTTTAAATCTGCCACTGTTATATAGAAATTTACATCTAGTTTTCTTAGGCAGTCCTTACAGTATACATCTTTCATCTCATTAGATGTAATCTTTTAAGTGCACCATTTTAAGTATCTATAGCTATAATTATCTAGCCAACTACTACTCTTTAACCCTGATTGGTTTGGAAAACATGATTCTTTTTCCCCCCATGGGAAACAATGAGAGAGCAAGGGTGAATCTGCACAAAGACTTGGCCACTTCTAAAGACAACTCAGGCCTCATGTCTGTCTGATAATGGTTTGTTAGGACCAATTTCTTGTTTAAGAAGCCAAGTACGTGATCTCCTATCAGGTAGGTAGTGTCTACAGAGGGGCAGCAAAGCGCAGACAGTCAGCTCTCACCTCTTTATGGTTCTTTTTGAGGTACGTCATCTCCTCACTCAGGGTTTCATACTGAATCTCCAGGTCTGTCCGGCACAGGGTTATTTCATCCAGGACTCTGCGCAATCCATTGACATCACTCTCCACGCTCTGGTGAAGAGCCAGCTCGTTTTCATACCTTAAAGGGTGTTAATGATTTTCCAGTTTGTCACATGGTTGGGGAAATAGCCAACAATCAATGAGCAAATAGAATTTGGAGGTGCCAGATTGGCCACAAGAGACATTTTCAAAGTCTAATGTATGGTAATTATTCTTTTCTTTATTTTGATGCATTTCTTTGACAGAAAAAGAACTAGGGCATTGAACACTTCTTTTATGGCAGTTCATACTTTAGATCTTGTGACAAAAGTATAAAAAAGTAATAGCATTCTGTTTGCTTTAAATCCCAGTATTTTAATATTTAATGGAGGGATCAAAAATAAATTTAGTTTAGTACTTCGCATTAACCTCCATGGATTCTTTCGCTCTGGGAGTCTACTTACTTGAGTCTGAAGTCATCCGCTGTCAGCCTGGCATTATCGATCTGTAGAACAGCATTCGAATTGCTGGTGGTGGAAGCGATGATCTAGAAATGGGGAGTTTGATTTTTTTAAAGGCAATTTATCACAATCAATAAAAATGTGGTTATGTTTTAAGATTAGAAAATGGAAATAATCAAAATTAATATAGTGACCAGATAGTGACATTTTAAATCATGAGGTTAACCAAATGAATCTACTTCGTGCTTATTTCCAATGCTAAATTGAAATTCCTTTTAGGAAAAGACAAGTAGGGATGATAAATGCGTTTAGAATTCAGTGAGGAAAGGAAAGAGCCTTTAGAAATGAAAGTTCATAAAAATGATTGAGGAGTGTAGTTTCTTACCTGACTTTTGAGATCATCAATTATAGGGAAGTATCTACTGTAGTCGTGATCCAGACCACGGCAAGATCCAGGCCCAAATTTCTCATACCAGCCCTTGATCTTCTGCTCCAGGTCTGCGTTGGCCTCCTCCAGAGCTCGCACGTTGTCCAGGTAGGAGGCCAGGCGATCATTGAGGTTCTGCATGGTCACCTTCTCATTCCCAGAGAGGAGGCCCCCCTCATTCACAGTAAAGCCAGCACAGGAATTGCTCCCGCCAGCATTTCCTCCCAATGCGCTGCCCCCAAAGGCACAGGAGAAGCCACTTCCAATTCCAGGCAGGCTGCAAGCATTTCCAGCCCCAAAGCTGGCTCCCCCACCCGAGAGCCTGAGCGACCCCGTGGTGGGACGGGCACAGGCCCTCCTGGAGCCACTGGGAAGTCGAAGAGACATGGTGTCCGGGCAAGCGTGTTGCAGAGCTGTTCTCGTGAGTCCCAGAAAGGAGTGCCTTCTCCTCTCCACTGTTTTGTGTGCCTTTTTATAGACAATTCTCAAGTGTGTTCTGGACAATATTCTGCCTACACAGAGTAAAAGGGAGCTTGCCAGCCTCAGCAAGCTAGCGTAATTGGATGATTTTTCCTAATTAGTAACTGACTTCGCTGGGCTCATTTCTGTAGGAGGGCAGCTGCCCTCAGGTTGGTGGTTATCTGAGAAATGGGTCTGGGTGGAGCAATTTCAGGTTCCTTATTACATTTTCAAGTTGTGAGTGAGTCATTCTTCACTTCCCTCCTTAGAAGATAAAACTCATCAGTCCGCCACACCATAGCAATCTGGCGTCATGGTTTTGGGCTATTTATGCCCAGGCAGATTTTGATGTCTTTGAGACTTTATAAAAAATGTTATTGTTACAATTCTTTACACTTAAGTAGGGAACAGAACTGGGATCATGATTTACCCAGCCTGGTCCTTTAAATACCAATCTCGCCCCCATACCCTCTTGCCACTGTTTCCCATGGGAAGTAACTTCCATTTTGGCTGACATGCATCATGTTTTGTTGACACTTACTTATAGTTAGGTATAGCTGCCTTCTCTTAGCCATTTTGGCAATTAGGAACACACCCCTAATTGCTGTTATGAGTTGTGGGAGTTTGGAAGGATATTAACTTATTTCCTGACCCAGCAAAATTTGAAGCAAACCTGGAAGCAAATATTTCATCTGTTTTTATTTCATTGTGGTTTAGCTTAGGTGAAAGTCATCAGTAAATTAACTATTTACTGGGTGTGGATCCCCATATAGTTATTGAAAACCCTAAACATTATGGAATTTTTTGAAAAATCTGGAAATTGGCTTATGGACAAAATTTCCATGAACATTGATGTGACACTGTTGTGAACATATGGATTCATTCATTCATTTAACAAATATTTATAAAACATCTACTATGTTCTGGGGACTCAAGATAAGTAGAATAATGCATTATTTTGCCTTTTGTGACTGGCTTCAAAGTTGTATCATGATGTCTTCAAAGTTGAATCATGTGCCAGAATTTCTTTGTTTTTTAAAGGTTTAATAATATTCCGTTGCATTTATATACCATATTTTTTTTTATCCATTCAACAGTAGGTGGGCACTTGGGTTGCATCCACCTTTTGGCTATTGTGAATAATACTGATATGAACATGGAAACCATGATTTTACTCTCTGCATGAACACATTCTTGATGTAAACAAATCAAGCAGGATCAATGGGTATAGAGTAAAATGTTAAAATCCTTTCTCACCTTCCTTTTTTGCTCTCTTCTTTACTCTCTCAGGCAACCACAGTTCACCATTCTAGATGTTTGTACCCTTCCAGATGGTTTTCCATGCATTTGCATACATACATAGCATGTAGACACACATGCCTAGGCGAGTCATCTGTGTTATATGTATTGCCCTGTAACTTTCTTTGTTTATCTTACATGCCTTAGAGCAGTGATGGCGAACCTATGACACGCGTGTCAGAGGGGACATGCGAACTCATTTTTTTTGGTTGATTTTTGTTTGTTAAATGGCATTTAAATATATAAAATAAATATCAAACATATAAATCTTTGTTTTACTATGGTTGCAAATATCAAAAAATTTCTATATGTGACACGGCACCAGAGTTAAGTTAGGGTTTTTCAAAATGCTGACACACCGAGCTCAAAAGGTTCGCCATCACTGCCTTAGAGCATGCATTGGTAGGTGTCTAATGAGATGGAAACTGTTGGTTGGTCCCCCAAATTTTTAACTGGGCAATAGCTACCCACAGTAAAGATTACTTTCTCCACATTCTTTGTAACTAATTGTGGTCATGTGATTAAGCTAGCCAATGAGATGTAAGCAGAAGTATATGTACTAGTGTTTTCTAGATACTTCATCTAAGATGCAAGCTGACACAAGTCTTTGTCCCATCTTCTCCCTTTCCTCCATCCTGCGGAAATGGGTGCGATGGCTGGGTTCCTGGGGATTCTCTGGTGCAAAGGTGCCATCCCAGCCCTGAATACCTTACCTCTGGATTTGTGTGTGGGAAAGAAATAAATTTCTATCTGTATAAAGTCCTGTTATTTTGTTATGTTACTCTGGGTCAAACCTAATATTAAGTAATTTGTTTAACCATTATTAGGAGACTTTGAGCTTATTTCCAATTTTTTTTTTTGCTATTATTAACAGTGCTGAACATATTCATGTTTTTCTTTAGGATAGATTCCTTCCCTTTTTTTTGCCAGTTCTTTTTCATTGAATTTATTGAGGTTTCATATATGTAGAGTAAAATTCATCTTAAACATACAGTTCTGTGAGTTTTAACAAACACATAGTCATGTAACCCCCACTACAATCAAGATACAGAACAATTCATTAACCCTCCCCCCAAATCATCTCATATCCCTTTGTAGTCAACCTCTCCCACAGCCCTGGCACCATGAAAATGTTGATCAGTTTACTATGTCTGTAATCTTGTCTATTCCAGAATATCATATAGATGGGATTACATAGTATGCGCTCCCAAGAAGGATTACATGCAAAGAACTTGAGAAAGGAAGAGAAGAAAAACAAAGTCTAGCCTTTTTATTTGTTAAGAAGTGAACGATTTCCTTGGGTTACTTAGCCAGTGGGATTTTGCAAAGCCAGGCTTTTGAAAACAGCAACCCCTTCCCCCTCATTATGGTGTTTTAGAAGGTACGCGTTGCTCCATTGTAATATTGCTTATTTTAGAGGATTTTTCTTCAACTGAGTGGACCCTCAGTGAAAGGACATTGCTGAGTTGATCTAGCTCCTCGACCACTGTTTTAATAACTGCTTCTTCTTTTGAGTCTAAAATAAAACAAATGAAAGTTTAGTGTTCATTCTTAACAGGTTGAAAGGTATTTAGTGACGATGGGTAAGCTTTTTAAAAATGGTATTTGCAAGTTTGTGAAAAATGAAATATTAATACTGTTGCTTAGCAGGGCCTGGGATCTCTTTCTTTCTTGTATTTACCACTGTTTTTAGAGAAATGGGTGTTTGAAAGCATAAATGAAACATGGATTAAAACATGTAAATGTTAGGCATGTACAGGCCTGGAGCAACTAATGTCTTCAAAAAAACATCAACTTGCCCAAGTTTTGTGGTTTAAAATAAAGTAGTTCTGCTATCAAAGCATTGAAACTGTGAAAATAATAGTTTCTAAGTAAAAAAGATATTGAGGGATGGGTTACCCATTTCAGCAATCTCATACTTTGACCACATCTGTTCTACTAGTATAAGAATATGAAATACAAATATTAAGAACTGTCATAAGCTTACAAATATAAGTGACTTATTTAATGCAATTGCTGGAGTTTAAAAGAGCTACAACAAGTAAAAATCCTCCCATACCTTTGACTTGATTTTCGGAATTTACAGGCTCACACCCTTTTGATTTGTAACATGTGGACTTGCTTTTTCTGCAAAGAGAAGAGTAAATTATTGCATTTATTTCATTCGGGAGCTCATAAATAATGATGAATTGGGAATGAAAGTTTTGGAGTTCTAGTTTCAATAAGATTCAAATTCTTACGTTTAATGGACATTAGTAAGTTTTTCATGACTTCAATACAGTAAAAGAAGCGATTAGATGGATGTTTAATCTAAGTGGATGTTTAAATTAATGGATAAAAAATTCCCTTGTGATCAGACATTATCTAGCAATACGGGGACTGCAAGTTCGCATTCTGACTTTTCAGTCACCTGGCCAATGAGCATGGTTGGCGTGCCTACTGCACTGGAGGCACCAGACTATGTGCTGTGGAGCCAAGATACAAGCAGTTTACGTTGTTGAAAAGAAAAGGGAGCACATGCAAGTAAAGGTACCTCTAACATGGCATGAAAGGTAAGAGAAGTGAAAAATGAATAGTGTAATGCGCACGTTGTTCAAAGGAGGGAGCCATCACTGTTAGGGTTCTTAAGAGAATACGCTGTAGAGACTGACACTAGTCTTGGAAGATGCATAAGATGCTAAGTCATGGTGAGACCATGGGCAAGATTTAGTAATAGCCGCTGATTACCGAATCCCTTTTGTGTGCAAGCCACTGTCATAAGCACTTTCCCTACACAGTGAGGCACTATTGTTAAAAGTATTTCAGAGTATGGATTTGGTGTTATCATAGTTCTACAATAAAGAAACTGGGGTTTAAAGAGCTTAAGCAATGTGCCCAGATTCTCCCAAGGGTGTCATTCTGGTAACTAAGCAAGTAAAAATAAAATAGGATGTGTTATGATGAGAAATGTACTTCAACACTAAGTCACGGAAAGCCACTTGGATTAGAGTAGAGGAATTGTTCAACGTTCTATATTTAAATGTTCTATATATTAACAGAGTGCAAATATTTTACAGACTTAAACATTTGATTTTGCTGCCTGTTTTCATTTCAACTGGATGCAGGAATAACTTTCTGAGGCCATACACAGGTATGCTCTTTAGCGTAGGACATTCTAGGGTACAATATTAGTATACACGTATATTGAGAAAACCTGGTTGATGTGAGATGAATATTTTAATAACTAGATTATTTTTCCATGCGTTAATATTTACCTTCCATCTCCATCTATTAATATGCAATACGTTTCAATTTCTTTTTCTAAAAATATTTTGATATCAAGAAGCTGTTCATAGTCCAGCTTCTGGCCTTCGGTTTCCGTGCGGATCTGTTGGAGCTGTTCCTCCATCGCCCCGACCTGATCCTGGATTTGCTGGAGCTGAAGGCAGTAATAGCCTTCGGTCTCTGCCAGGGAGCATTCGTAGGAATGTTTCTGAAAGAAGAACAAAGCAAGACTTGCATGTAGAACCCATAAATAACACGTTCCTCTTTTCAACACTCTCAAGGCGGAATGAAATATTTATATGGAGTCTAAATTCTTTCAATCAAAATCAGCATTAGCAAAGTTTTAAAAATGTTTTTCCTTTTCATTGAAAAAAGTTTCTTTACAAAAATTTTGGGGGTTGATGAGTCAGAAGTAATGTTTACGGACAAAATTCTTGATATTTAATATTTTTATATGTATTTAATATATTAATATGTATTTGATATATTTTATCTTTTCAGTTACATATACTTTGTTACCTATTTTGTTATATGATATATGTATTTACTTATTACACACACACACACATACACACACACACACATATTCAAATCAGTGGTGATTCCTACAAACCGTGGCCACGAGGGATTGAAGTTCTATTTCCAAGGTTTGCAGGTTGCGTTTCAGTTCCATCAGCTCATTCCTGGCCACTGTGGCTGCTCCCACATCGTCAGAAATCTGCTGTTGCAGCGAAGCGCTCTGAAGCATAATTGTCAGAAAGGTTAGTGACCAGCCTGGTGGTCTATTGAACAAACAGGCCCTTGACCTGGGTGTGTGATTTGCCACAGACGTACCTTCTCGTTAAACCAGGCTTCCGCCTCTTTGCGGTTCTGCTCGGCCAAGTCCTCGTACTCGGCCCTCATGTTGTTCAGCAGAACAGTTAGGTCCACGCCCGGGGCTGCATTCATCTCCACATTCACGTTCCCCCCGGCTGAACACTGCAGGACCTCCATTTCCTGGAGAAGGGATCAGTGTGGATATTCAAGGTGGAATTTTGAGAATCACAGTGCTGTGAAATAAACAGTGAACTCGAGGAAGGAAATCTGATACGCCACAGAGCCACCCCGCAGTGTCCTTACCTCCTCATGATTTTTCTTCAGGTAAGCCAGTTCCTCAGTAAGGGCTTCACACTGGATCTCCAGGTCGGCTGTGCACACGGTCAGCTCATCCATCACCCTGTGCAGACCATTGATGTCGGCCTCCACGCTCTGGTGCAGCGCAAGCTCGTTTTCATACCTGGAAGGCCATTAAAGAGCATGAGAATTATAATCACAGGCAGGTGCAAAGGGTACCTTCTTCAGACATTTCATGTACTGAAAGATGATGCCTGTACACGCTGCTGAAGCTGATTGTGATGGCAACGTGATGGGTCACTTTGGAATCCCACTCATCTATGGACATTATTTTGGAGGAGTTGTTTTTCAGAGTTGATTTTTGTCACCCAAATATGCTTAACAGCTGAATAAAAATATGGTTTCAAGTTTACTATGGCTTTTTAAAATAAGGATGCATTTAATTTCTTCAGTGATCCAGTCTGACTTTATAAAAACATGTTGGTTCAAGTAGGGGGTGAGGGCATATGCTGGGGGTGGGAGCGGCCGGGGAGAGGTCAATGGGGGAAAAAGGAGACATATCTAATACTTTAAACAATAAAGAATTTAAATTAAAAAGCATGTTGGATTTAAAGCAAAAGATATGTTCTTTACTCCAAATGTAGTCTTTTCCCCTTAGTTATAATGAATGACTTTATTTTTTACCTACTTCAACCTGAAGTCATCAGCGGTCAGTCTGGCATTGTCATTTTGTAGAACAATGCTGGCATTACAGGTGGTCACAGAAATGATCTAAATAGGGTAGATTGTGCAAAATGTTAAGTTCCAAAAGTCAAGGAAAACTCCAGATTTAAGTGTGATTCTTATCTTCTTAACCCATCAAGTATCTATTTTAGTACAATTTTTTTCTGCATTAAAAGGAATCTGGATTTTACTTGGATAATAAATGCCTAGAACTTAAGAGCCAAAGTGTAAGTTTTATAATCATGAATACTTTTATTACTCTTGATTAAAAACTATGAGCTAAATATAAGATCAACAAAATGATTCTATTTGTTTTAAAACTATTTCTTTTTCATTAATTAATTCTACAAATTTTTATTATCAGGCTCCAAATACTAGGAATACATCAATTATAGTTGCTAAGCACATTTGCTATTTTGTGTTGCCTTTAGGTTATGGACACCTCAAATCTATAATAAAAGTCTGCAAATCCACATTTCTTACCTGCCTTTTAAGATCTTCAATGACTGAGGAATATCTACTATAGTCATGATCCAGTCCCCGGCAAGAACCAGGCCCATATCTCTCATACCAGCACTTGATCTTCTGCTCAAGGTCTGCATTTTCTTCCTCCAGAGCTCGCACATGGTCCAGGTAGGACGCCAGGCGGTCGTTGAGGTTCTGCATGGTCATCTTTTCATTGCCAGAGAGGAGGCCATGCTCATTTCCAAGAAAACCAGCACAGACACCACTTCCCAGCCCTCCACCACCGCTGTAGAAACCTCCTCCAGAAGAAACGCTCCCAAGAGTACAAGAAAAACTGCTTCCTGCTCCAGGCCCACTGCACACATTCCCAGCCCCGAAGCCTGTCCCTCCACCAGACAGCCGGCCAGGGCCAGCTTGAGAGCAGGCCCGCCTGGATCCACTAGAAAGTCGAAAGGACATGGCGACAGCACAGCTGAGCAGCCCTTTCTCAGAGCAGAGCAAAGCCAAAGCGCACCACCCATAGTACTTACTCCCACTGGCCTTTTATAGGATTCGGTACGTCATTTCAGTCTTTACTATGCCGATTTATAATAAAATGTTACTCATACTCTAATTGTTGTTTTTCATAGCTGGGTGATTGTCAATACTGTCCAGTCTGTAGGTGGAAAAGTGCCCAAGGATATCTTTCCATATGAAGAGGTGCCAGGTGGAGTAATATTGAGTCATAGCATCAAAGGTCAGACTTAAATAGACAGCTTTTTGACCTCTGGAATAGATTCATTTCCCCCTCTACATAACAAAAATTTAATAAGTCAAATGGGAAATGTCTACTGCTTTTGTCCTGTAAATGCGTATGGAGTATCTTTATTATTATTCATGCGTTTATTGAGTGTTTTCTTTCTTACTAAAATCAGATACTCTCAATATATAGTGATTCTTTGGTGGTGGGAGTTTTTTAATTGATTTTTTAAAAACTGAAATAACAGAAGCTCTGCAGTTATCATTTTAACTAAAAAGAATGAATATGTGGCATTGACAGAAAGTTAATTGCAATTGAGATTTCTTGGTTGAGTCCAGGAGCAGAATGTCCATTCAACTAACTTCTGTCTCCATATTGTTCATTTCTCTACCTCAAAAATATTGTTTTACTGCCTTTTAGTTTAAATTTATGTATTTAAAGCATCATGGATTATTTTGAGAAGTGATTATCAATGTTCCTATTGATGAGTGGGGAGTTAAATAGATGAAGAGGAGCGTTTTCATTATTACCTAGAAAGCCAGTGATTTGGTACTCTGAATAGAAGATTAATTGTCATAGATAAGAAGGCTTTTCATTCTCTTGCCTTGATGCCATGGGAAGTTAACCTGTCTGGTTGGGCTTCATTTCCCTATTGGGCAAATGAAAATAATAATGTTGAACAGTCTCAAATGAATGTTGAGCTATTCCAATAATTAATGACTATAAAACAGTCTGCAGGGCACAAACATTTTGTACATGTTAATTACTTAAATTATTATAATAAAGTGGCCATGTCAGAAGGGTCAGGTCTCTATCATTTATAATGGTACAAATTGATTGGTTGACTAATTATGGGTTTGGATAGTTTTGAAACAGTAATTTTTTCTGAATGAGATTTTTTTCAAGGTTGTGGATATTGTTGACTAGTTTGAAAAAACCTCCAACGTTACTGTTCATAAAAGATATGGAATAGTGGGTGGCCCGGAATGCATGGATTTTTTTTTTGACCAAAATATTTTAAGATAATTAATAGAAAACTGAAATTCAGACCACTTGACCATGTTTAGAACAATGTGTGATGAATTAAGAGATGCAGCTCATATTCAGGGACTTAGTACTGATTTTGTTGTGACCTGATCAAAATTTTAATCTTTTGCTCATATCACCCAGGAATAAAACAAGAAAAACAGAGTAGTTTGTCAGTGTAATGGTTTATAATTCTTGAGTTATAAGAGGTATTATGAGACTGCAAAGTATTATTAACATAAACTACTGGTCTCTAGATATTTTATAAATAATAATTAACTTGCAATCTTTTGTGAAATAAGTTAAGCATATATTATTAGGACCATTTTGAAGATGAGTTGACTCTGAAGCTAAGTGGCCACACAGATCACAAAACATTTTTATGTCAAAGCAAGACTGCAGTGTCTGATGCTTAACTCCTCAAAATGCCATCTATTATTCATATGAGCAACTCTCCTGAATTTTCTTAATCATAAATTTCTTCTAAAATAATAGTTTAGCTTAGTCCTTTCTGGAAGAAGGAGATAGATTTAACAAATTCTCTAGGCCATTTCTATCTATGTACTAGTATTTCCACCCTGAGAGTGGTTATTTTATTCAGGATACATGTGTTCAGTCACATATCATTATCATATTTTCAGAATCCATTAGGTATTAGAATGTTCATTATATAATGTGTATACTGTATTTGATTTAAACTTTTAAGTTATGCAGTGTTAATGTTTGCTTATCTCAGGATGAAGTTTTTCATTACATAATCTTATTCTAATGATCATACACTAATTTTGCCCCTGATAATTTAGTGTTTAGCTTCAAACATGCTTTGCTATCTTTTGCCATTGTCTGAAATTCACATTCTACATTTGTTAGCCGGGTTTAGAAATGTATTTTTCTTGGACATGAATGATGTTTGTTTTGTCACTAGATTTCTAGTTTTTTTTCCCCCCTGAGAATCAGATTCTAGTATCCTAACTCCTCCCACAAAATGGCTTCCCTGGTTTGTTTGGGAAGGAGACGCTGATGACTTTGCTTAATCTCAGACTAATTGGGGTTAGAACGCAGTTAGTTGTTTTTATCCTCCCTTTCTAGAAGGAAGGTAGACTCATGAGGTTCTCCCTAGCATGGTGTTATGATGTGGTTAAGCACACCGATTCTGAGCCACAGCTTTTGTATCCACTCATCTACTGAGGAAACTCATATAGTTGGCTTTTTAAAAATATGTTTTTATTGATTTTTAGAGAGAGAGGAATGGAGAGGGATAGAGAGATAGAAACATTGATGAGAGAGGAACATCATCAATCGGCTGCCTCCTGCATGCACCCCACTGGGGATCGAGCCTGCAACTGAGGTACATGCCCTTGACTGGAATTGAACCCGAGACCATTCAGTCTGCAGACTGAAGCTTTATCCACTGAGCCAAACTGACTAGGGCAGGTATATATATATTTTTGATGCAATTGTAAATGGGATTATTTTCTTAGTTTCTCTTTCTGATAGTTCATTATTGGTGTATAAAAATGCAACTGATATCTAGATATTTATTTTGTATCCTGCTACTTTATTGAATTCATTTATCAGTTCTAGTAGTTTTTTGGTGAAATCTTTAGGGTTCTCTATATACAGTATCATGTCATTTGCAAATAGTGACAGTTTTACTTCTTCCTTTCCAATTTGAGTGCCTTTTATTTCTTCTTCTTGCTGATAGCTGTGGCTTGGACTTACAGTACTATAATATGCAAATTGTCTCCTTGGGCAGTCGTTCGACTGGGAAACCAGGAGTTCAACCACTCACTATGACATGCACTGACCACCAGGGGGCGACACAGAACATGGTGGATGTTGATGACATGCTGCGACCTCTCTCTGGCCTCATGGGGGTGGGGGTGACAGGGATGGAGGTGTGGTGAGAATGCGGGTTATCTGCTGAGCTCGCTCTCACTCCCCCTGCTACCCTCCCCCGGGATGCCAGGGCTTGTGGGCCAGGGAAGCCCCCCGAGCTCAGGTGCCAGGCACCTGCGAGGAGGCCGGCTCACACCCATGTGGCCTCTTCTGGTTGAGCCGGGCCTCAGCTGCCGGGACTGCAGGGGCCTGTTTGGCTCCCCATGAGTTCGCGCAGGAGCTGGTTTGCAACGCCGGCCGGGAGAGAGCATGCTGCCTGCCCGGCTTTCATGCAGCACTGCTGGGTGGCCCAGATGCCCATGCTGTGCTTCGGCCCATAGCGTCTGGTCGCGCTCACCACATCTCTGTGTGGGGACTTGGGCGCCGTGACTCAGGTGGAGGGGGGTGCACGGGGGCCCGGGGGCCCAGAGGTCGCCTGAGACCTACCCTTCCATGCCAAACACTCACTCTTCGATCGCTGGCCAGGCCTAGGGACTGCACCTGTGCACAAATTTTGTGCACCGGGCCTCTAGTATTGAATAAGCATGTTGAAAGCATACATCCCTGTCTTGCTTCTGATCTTAAGGGAAAAGCCCATTGAGTATGATGTTGGCTGTCATATGTGGGATTGTCATATGTGGACTTCATTATGTCCCTGGCAGACAGAACCCCTGATCATTTTCACAGCGAGATGTTATGTGGCACCTCTTCCTGGCTCTGGTACTCTGGGCTGGGAAACCTCCCTCTCCTAAGGGAAAACCTTTGCAGCTGAGATAGCCCTCTGGGATCTCAGCCACCACCTGTGGGAATGAAGCCAGACCTTTTGGGTCTCCACCCTTTCTACCCATCTCGATGTGGCTTCCTCTGTAAATTCTTGGTTATAAGACTTGTGTTCAGCTAGTTCTCAGTTGGTTATTCAGGTTGGTTGTTCTATATTTTAGTTGTCATTCCAGTTTGATTCCTGGGAGGAGGTGAGTGTAGCTCCCACCTCTCTACCACCCAGCTTGGCTCTCCCAATCTTTCATCTTTCTGAAGGTAGGCAGTTATGACTATAAAGTTCCTACTTAATACTGGTTTGCCAAATCCCATAAGTTTTGGTAAATTGAATTTTCATTTTCATTAGTCTCAAGGTATTTTTCTATTTCTCCTTTGATTTCTTTGACCCATTAATTGCTCAGGAGTGTGTTGTTAAATTTCTATATATTTCTGAAGTTTCCAATTTTCCTCCTATTATTGATTTCTAGTTTCATACTAGTGTGGTCAAAAAAGGTACTTGTTATGATATCGGTCTTCTGAAATTTGTTTTGTGGCCTAACATTGTGAAATTGACCACCTGCCTTATCTAGTCCTCACACTTCTCTCTTTTCCTTTCTACCTTCAAATATCACCATTTTTAGTTTTAGTGTTTTTTCCCCCCCATTTTTAGGATATTTCTGATTCTCCAGTTCCTTATTTCCACTCCTCTGTCATGTTGCACTTAGGGATGAGATTTTGTTAACTGTTTTATTCTCATTACCAGCACTTAGTGTGTGTTTAACACGTATTTTTACAAGGAAGGACAATGTAAAACTTCACAGAAATGCGAAAAAGACTCCACCTAGTTTGCCTGTTAATTTTACTCCTAATTTCTGAAGGTCATTGAATTAAATAGAAGAAATTAAAAACAAAATTCAGTTCCAACTGGGGGTTAAGTTTACAATGCAAAGACTGACCAGAACCAGTGAAGATGACTTGCAACAGGAAAAACTTTTATTGAAACCCCACCACAGAGAAAGCCAAAGGAATGTTACTACTCTAAGAAGAATTTGTCTTCCTTCACTGGAAGGAAAGCAGAGACATAAGAGGGCCCTTATTTAGGAATCCAGCTTCAATTTGACTTTTTAATTTAAGGCCGTTCTTTTGGGGCTCAGGAAGGCACCCTCTGTTCACTCTTCATGTTGTTGACTTTGGTGGATTTCTCTTCCATGGTTTGAACTCTGGACGAGAGAACTTTGCCACGAGGATCTATTTCTTCAACAATTGTTTTAATCACGGTGCCTTTAGATGCCTCTAGAATGACACACATGAATTGGTAAGATTTCTCAAATTCATAAAGAGGAAATAACTTGTCATTTGGAACATATACAAATAAACACTGAATGCTCAACCCCGCTTTTGTTTACCTTTTATCTGATTTCCTGGTCCTTTATAGCCTTTTGATTTAACGCAAGAGCTGTAAAAATATAGAGAGCTCCTATTAATAATTTCACTCTGTGTTTTGGTGAGGAAACGGAAAAATATTGATTTAGCATGGGAGAGCATTGGATTCTTAAATAACAGTAGAAGTTTAGGTACACATGATGTAGGTCAGAGATACTTTGTACTTGATTTTAAAAAATAGTTAACAACCTTAAAATCAATTGTTTTCTCAATGAAAGCAGTCCTTACCCATCCTCTCCGTCTATCAGGCGGCAGTAGGTCTCAATCTCTTTTTCCAGGTGGACCTTGATGTCCAGGAGCTGCTCGTACTCGAGTTTCTGGCCCTCGGTCTCTGTTCTGACCTGGTGCAGCTGCTCCTCCAGGGCCCCGATCTGAGCCTGGATCTGGGCCAGCTGCGCACAGTAGTTGCCTTCCGTCTCTGTCAGGGAGCACTCCAGGGACTGTTTCTATGGGTCAGTAAGACAATTTAGTAGAAAATGTCACAGTGTTGTTTTAGCGTAAGGCAAAGCACATAGATATTTAAGAGAGTTATCTTC